ACAGTGGGAGGGCTTCTAGCGTCCTCGCCCCATTGCTGGACTTCCTGATGGCACCTGGTATTTTTGGCCACTGTGTGACAGAGTGTTGGACTGGATGGGCCTTTGGCCTGATCCAACATTAGCTTCTCTTATGTTCTTATGTCTGGGGCAAGGGATGCTCTGTATTCTTGGTGCTTGGGGGGGCAACAGTGGGAGAGCTTCTAGTGTCCTGGCCCCACTGCTGGACCTCCTGATGGCACCTGGTGTTTTTGGCCAATGTGTGACAGAGTGTTGGACTGGATGGGTCTTTGGCCTGATCCAACATTGGCTTCTCTTATGTTCTTATGTCTGGGGCAAGGGATGCTTTGTATTCTTAGTGCTGGGGGGGGGCAACAGTGGGAGAGCTTCTAGTGTCCTGGCCCCACTGCTGGACCTCCTGATGGCACCTGGTGTTTTTGGCCACTGTGTGACAGAGTCTTGGACTGGATGGGTCTTTGGCCTGATCCAACATTGGCTTCTCTTATGTTCTTATGAAAACTGGACCTCTCAGAAGCCAGTTGCTAGTCTGAATGCTCTCTAGGGCTGCCCCTCTAATGATAAAGTCTCGGTGCCCCTGGGCCTGCAAGACGAGATTTTGTTCTAACAAGCGAAGCAGAGGCTACGAGTCAGATATTGTAATACCCTTGACAACAGCTTTCCTCTTAGAAGTTTGCTCGCTGCATGTTTACTGAGTATCTTAAGAGTGTGTGGAAAGCGGCAGTATGCACTGTAGTGCTGCGCTGTTAGTAACCCATTCACTCAGCAGTTGTATTCCTTGCATTTTCCCTCTTGTCATTTCCCTTTTCACTGACCTTAAGCTCATGTATTAGCACTTAGTTCAAATAAAGTGCTACAGAAGATGTTAATGTATGAGTTGTTTTTCCTAAACTAAAACCTCAGTATTCAGGTTAAATTGCCGTGTTGGCACTTTGCGATAAATAAGTGGGTTTTGGGTCACAGTTTGGGCACTCGGTCTCTAAAAGGTTTGCCATCACTGGCCTAGGCCATCCAGGTCAGAGCAGGATGTGAGAGACCCAGGTTCAAATCCACACTCTACCATGGCTGTTCACTGGGTGACCTTGGACCAGTCACTCTCTCAGCCTAATCTACTTCAGAAGATTGTTGTAAGGATAAAATGGAGGAAAGAAGAACAATGCGGTAAGCCCCTTTGGGGGGGGAAAGCAGACTATAAATACTTAAATAAATACTACCAGCATAGGGAAGGGCAAGCTCAATAGGTGAAACCAAATGAATGTGGAAAGATTAAACTTCCTCTTCATTCTCCTCATGGTCTTAATCTGGGCTTTATGAACCTAAAATTTGCATTTGAAAGACATGGGGAAAAATCTGTGATCTGTATCTAGTTTGACTCCACATAGTCATGCCTTCTGCCTAGTATCCATCAGCGAATAACATCCTCCTCCTTTGGAATCCTGGAGTTTGGAGGAAAAATACAAAGCAAGAAGGAAACATACATGTGTGTTTAGTACCTTCTCAAAATGAATGGGCTCCAAACGACTGGAGAAGAGCGCATCTTGTTCCTCCAGCTCTCGCCTTAGCCTTGCCAAGTCCTGCCTCAATTCTGCCAGCCTTATCTCATCTGCAAGACACAATTGGAAACAAAGTCTAGTAGTGCAAGATCTTCAGAGCAATGCAGGGAGAAAAACATTTTCCTACTTGTTTTAAGCCTTTTGTTCAAGAGAGTAAGGTTGAATCTCATGTTCTTTTATGGATCAAAAACTGGCTAATGAATAGAAAACAGAGAGTGAGTATAAATGGGCAGTTCTCTCAGTGGAGCAGTCATTCACAATTTTTACATGGGTCAGCAGAGTGCTCTTGGGGCTTCTTAGAAGTGTTGGGATCTCTGACCTGTAGAAGATCTCCTGAGCTCTTTACCAACCTCTGCATCCCCGTGACATCTGCATCTCTTCATCAGTGACAGGTATGTGCACTCCATTTCGTGGCTGGAAAGGCAGTAGGTGCAAGTCAAGGAGGATTTGGCGGGTGGGAGCATTGCTCTCACTCACATTCAGCCTGTGCATCTGAGCAAGAAGGTGGCTGGCTGCCAAAAGGAAGGTCCTATGGGTGACCTGTAAAAACATGGAGGGTAGATTCAGCAGGGATGGCCCTTGC